AGATAGATAGATAGATAGATAGATAGATAGATAGATAGATAGATAGAATGGAAAGCCTGTGTCAAAAAAGCAAGAAGGTTTGGAGATGTAAACTGAATAGAGCACTTGCCTAGGATTACCAAGACCCTGGGGTCAGTCACGAGCACAACAAATCAAAAATGAAAAGTTAAGAGCAATGTTAGCAGGCTGGAGAGATGGCTCAGAGGTTAAGAGCAGTGGATGTTCTTCCAGAGGTCCTGTGTTCAATTCCCAGCAACCACATGGCACACATGCAGGCAGAATACCACATAAATAGCAAATTTTTAATAAGGAAAAAAAGTTAGCAAAGTGACAGCAGAGTAAGCAGCACTAAACTTTTTCATCCTTCCATACAAACCACTTGGTTTTTGGTGCGTTGAATTGAACCCAAAGCTTCAGTCCAGCTAGACAGCACTCAATCCTTGAACTGTATCCCAGCCTTTTACAAGTATTTTAATTACATGTGTGTTGGGGGTGGGTGTCTGTATGTGTGAGTGTTGTAGCCCATGGAAGCCAGAAAGAGTAGAATCCCCTGGAGCTGGAGTTACGAGCAGTTGCAGGCTGCCCAGTGTGGTCCTCTGGAAAGCACTCTTAATCCCTGAGATACCGCGCCACCTATCACAGCCCTTATTTTGCTTTTCATTCTGAGACAGCATCTCATTTAAGTTTCACAGTCTATCTTTAAACTCAAATCTGTAGCCCAGGTTAGTTTTTAACTTGACTTCCTATTCCCTTCATCTTCCAAGTAATTGGGATTATAGGTTCATGCTACCAGGCTAGCAAAACAAACAGAGGCCAGGTGACACACCCCTTAATCCTAGCACTAATTGATCAGAGGCAAGTGGATCTCTGTGAGTTCAAGGCCAGAGTGGTCTACATAGTGACACAGTGAGGTCCTGTCTCAAAAATAAATAAACAAGCCAGTGTGGTGGCACACACCTATAATCCCAGCACTTTGGGGGACAGAGGCAGGCCGATCTCTGTGAGTTTGAGGCCAGCTTGCTGTACAAAGCCAGTTCTACACAGGACAGTCAAGACTACACAGAGAAACTCTGAGGAAAAGGCTCAATCAGCAACATGCTTTCTGCACAAGCATGAGGACCCAAATTCAATCCCTAGAATCCAGGTGTGGCAACACATACCTGAAATGCAAGGGTTAAGGAAGCAGAGGCAGAGACAGAAGTCCTGAAGCTTACTGGTCAACTAATCTAGTGAATCAGCCAATTCCAGGTTCAGCAAGTGGCCTTGTCTCAAAAAGTAAGTTGGAGCATGCCTATGATCCCAGCACTCTGGGAGACAAAGGCAGGCAGAACTCTGAGTTCAAGACCAGTCTGGTCTAAAAAGCAAGTCCAGGACAGCCAAGGCTACTGTCCTGACCCCTGACAGAGAAACCCTGTCACAAAAAGAAAAAAAAAAAAAAAAAACAAGAAAAGAAAAAAAAAGTGAGTTGGAAAGTAAACATCACCAACATCAACCTTTGGCCTACACACACACATACACACACACACACACACACACACACACACACACACACACACCCCAGAGGTCAGCTCTAGATGTTGCTCCTCAAGTGATATCCACTTTGTGTTTTGAGACAGAATCTGTCATTAGTCTGGATCTCAACTGATTCAGCCAGGGGTTCATCTGTCTCTACCTCTCTAGCACCCCAGCACTGGGATTGCAATTCCGCCTTCAGGGCCCATGATATCTGGGTGACCCTTTTATAACATAATTTGCTGCACTAAACTCTAGATCCCCAAGATGAAGGAGTGAATACCCCAACCGAAAGAGCCACAGTAAGTTTCTCTATCCTCAAGCCCCCAAGGATCAGCAGGAGAGATGAAACTACTGCTCACAGCAGGCACCATCCTGGTCACCTCACAACCCCCTGTACTGTCCCTAGTGACCACTGGAGGGCATCCAAGAGCCATTCTGGAGCAAGGGCAAGCTTACACAGGTCAGCTCCTAGCTGCCTCCAAACTAGCTAAGTCCCTTCACCCCAGTTATCTGTGGACAGATCCTCTTGTAAAGATCTTTAGGGCAGGAATGGGTCAGTGGCCAAGTGAGAAAGAGGGACGGGAGCAGGAGGACCCCAAACTTAAGACACCGTTATGCTGATGCCTTCCTGCAGAATCTTAGGCCTCAGAGTTGAAGCTTCTTCTGCCAGGCAATCTTGTCAGGGTTCCTGAATGGCCTGGATCTCTTCCCCAAGAACATGATCACGCCTGCCCTACCCCACTGTACCCCAAGTTTCCTATATGATCTTGATTTCTAATACCACGTAGGGATTGTGGGCTGGCTTTTTAATTTTTTTGTAAAGAGAATGTTTTTTATCCTTATTACACTTTGTTTGTTTGTGGGCATGGGTAAGTATGCGGGTGCACTTACGACATGATGCATGTGAAGGTCAGAGGACAATTTGAGGAAGTCAGTTCCCTTCTTCCACCATGTGGGACCAGGGATCCAAATCAAGACATTAGTCTTAAGCAGGCTGGTGCTGGCTCACGACTTGTTAGCAGATGCCATCATCCACTGAGTGGTTTTGCTGGACCTCCTCTGGCTCTTTAAAAGTTTTCTATGTTATCTTGACAGCTAATATCACTATCACGTCGGGATTGTTGGTCAGCTTTCTATTCGTTTCTGCTCCATCTTCAGCTTTTTTGTTTTGCTTTTTGTTCTATCAAGACAGGGTTTCTCTGTATAGGCTTGGCTATCCTGGACTCACTTTGTAAACCAGGCTGGCCTCGAATTCACAGCAATCCACCTGCCTCTGCCTCCTGAGTGCTGGGATTACAGGCATGAGCCACCACCTTCAACTTATTTTTTTTAAAGACTCATTCATTGTCATTTTATGTGTATGAAGTGTTGTGCCTGTATGTGTGTTTGTGCACCATGGGTGTGTGTGGTGCCCATAGAGGTCAGAAGATACCAGATCTCCTGGGACTGCTGTACAGAGGGCTGTGAGCCACCATGTAAGTGCTAGGAATCAAACCTGGGTCCTCTGCAAGAACCAACGTGCTTAACCACTAAGCCATCCCTCCATCTACCTCACTTCTGCTTTCTAAACTGTGACCTAGGACAGATCAGATAGCTGTTTCTTTAACTACAAACTGGAGTGATCAGATAGCTGTTTCTTTAACTACAAACTGGAGTGATGGTAAGTATGCCCTCCTATAAGCCTGGAGTTATATTCAGTTGGTTAGCATGTGCACTGTAGCTCAGGTAAAGTGTGTGCTGAGAAGATACTTGGTTCACCAGCAATCACACCTTCATCATTATCACTATCACCACTACTATTGCCAAATCATAACTACCATCATTACCACCACTATCATAACTACCACTATCACCATCACTATTTATTATCACCATCATCACCTCCATTACAATCTCATTATGATCACCATCGTCAATATTATAATTTACAAATTGGGTGGACAGATTTCCAATCCTGGGTTGGTTGCTCTAGAAGTCTTATTGAACTTGTCTTAATCTTATAAAGTGCTGATCTGATTATCTGGGTTTTTGTGTGCACTGGGCTCCCTATATTGTTCTAAAGGCCCACCTCACATATGTGTAAACTGAGACTTTGTGATGCAATGGGTCCACTATGTGTGGGCCAAGGGATGGAGCTAGGCCAGCATCAAATGCAGCATGTGAGGAAAAAAATCTAGTTCAGGGCAAGAAAACCTTACTAACAGGCCTGGACTTTGGTCAGGATGAATGACAGGTCAGGGTAAGAGAGAGGCCTTCTCCGTGGGCAGGTCTGACCAAGAGCTTCAGTCCCTTCTCCCTCATCCTCCTCCTGGCTGAAAGCTCTGACATTTCCCAACTCAGAGTGGGGCCCCTGGGTTTCCCAGCCATGGTAGAGACAATTTTCTGGTCTCCAGCAGACAGTCGTATAACTCTCTCTCCTAGGCATGGAAGGCTGAAGTGAGGCGCTGTTAGGCAGTGCTAACAGAGGGTCAGCCCCACTCCCTGAGGTCTAGAAGGGCTGAGTACCCCACTCTGAGCCAAGTAACAGGAGAAGAGCCTTTGTATCTCAGCATCCCACTAGCTCCAACACTGGCCAACAACTCCCTCCAACTGAGATGCACTGTGAGGTTCAAGGGAAGCAGTCTTGCTCGGCAACAAGCTGACCTCTGACCCCAGTCATAGTACCCAGACCCAGCCTCCAGGCTGACCTCTGACCCTAAGCACAGCTAACCCTGGTACTAGGTCTCTCCATTCCCAGGCAGGGCAGCATTGTAATAAACGTGAAGGGTTAGGATTGGCTTGTTTCTCAACTATTGCCACACCCCAGCTCTTCCCTTGGAGACACGTGCAGCATGTTCGAACCAGCAAGCAGATCTAGGCACTGGGAAGAGCTGGGGCCTACCCCACACAGGGCTCCTCAAGAACATATCCCCAGTGGTGTGAAGATTTAATCTTTTCCAGCAAACAAGTTTAGTAGTTGTGTGCCTGCTTCCTCTCACATCCTCCCCTTGGGCTCTTGTGTCAAGGACTGTGTGTTTGTTTACTCAGATGTAATCTACTCCTTGGAATGTCCATATATCTGACACCCTGACTCATTGACACAATTTCCTGGAATGGTTAACTTAAAATGTACCCCCTCTCCTTGCACCCTTTCCCTTTCCCTTATTGCCATTTTTCAAATTAGCTAACAGATGTAGATTGTAAGGCTGAACCTCAGCCAGTGGGGAACAGCCAAAGCACCCCTCACATTAAGGGTGTAGTGTGGAGGCCAGCTTAGAATAAGTGTGCTTGCCCTCCAACTTTTGGTGGACATTTACTCTTTTGTGCAGAAGTGAAGTTTTCCTTGCTGTGACCCTTAGTTTGAGTGGTGAGTTCTTGATTTGTGACACCATTCTTATCTGTAATGCCATGGAGGCATGCCCAGGATTCTAGCCTTCCTGAGGAGGTACACAGCTCCCCTCCCAGGGTAGATGCCTCCCAGGCCTGTGTGCAGTGGCCCCTGGGTTAGAGAAGAAACAAATCCAGGATGGAATCTGAAAAGATGGCCTAGAGGGTAAGAGCACTTGCTGCTCTTCTAGAGACCCAGGTTTGGTTTCCAGCATCCACACTGTGGCTAACAACAACCCCAAATTACAGATCCAGGAAATCCAATACCTTCTTTTGACCTGTAGAGGCATCTGCACAAACAGCATAAACATACATAACTCACTTTTATTATTTTTTTTTTGAGACAGGGTCTCTCTACATAGCTATGGAATTTGCTGTGTAGACTAGGCTGGTCTGGAACTCACAGAGATCCACCTGCCTCTGCTTCCTAAGTGCTGGGATGAAAGGTATAATGAGCTACTATGCTCAGTGATAAACTTTTCTCTTTTTTTAAGGACAAGAAAACTAGGACTGGAAGGTTCTCAACAGTACAAGGAAGGGCACAAGCAAGAGTTGCAGTGGCTCGAACTCTGTACAGAATAAAGTAAGAAACACTATGGGGGGGGGGGAGTGCTCCTGGAGGGTGGTTGGGAATGGATGGAAGATGTTGATGAGTCGGAATCCCAATATAAAGCCCCATCAGTGTCCTGGTGACTTCACCCAGCCTTTTGGCTACCCTTTTGGACCTAGTCGGGTTTATTCCAACATGTCCATTGCTAAGAAGCAACAAACACAAAATACTGCCACATAAGGAATCATCTGGAGACCAGTTATTCAAAACTGGGGTACGAGAAACCTCCATAGAAGGGGTGAGTATTGAACCTCTCATTAAGTACTAGAGTGTAAGAAACCCATAGGAAAGGGTGACTGAAAGCCAGGCGAAGTGGTGCATGCCTTTAATCCCAACACTCAGCAGGCAGAGGCTGGCAGGTCTCTGCAATGGAAGTTTTGCTTTCTTTAAAACCCAGTTATGTTATGCTTTTGTTTTAATCCCAAGTGTGGGATATGGGACTGTCTTCATTTGTTCACAGCTGATAATTGCCTCATGCAGCTCAGAGAGGGGCGTGGTCTTTGCCAGCTGCAGTGAGTTTAATTCTGTGGGTGTAAATACCAGAACGCAGAGAGACGATTCAAGGAGACTGATGGAGAAGGAAGAAGGCTGCTTTCCTCCTGCTGCATTTGCAGTTTTCTGGACTGCTAGTAATACTGCCAGCCTGATCTACAAAGTGAGTCCAGGACAGACAAGGCTACACAGAGAAAGCCTGTCTTGAAAAACAAGCAAGCAAACATACAAAAAAAAAAAAAAAAAAAAAAAAAGGAAAGAAAAAAAAAGAAGATTGCTGGACAGGCCTTTGAGGTTCATGCTTAAATATTGGGCAGAAGATTCCACACACACAATAAAGACAAAAAGACACAACAAATATCAAAAGTTCTGCTGCTTAATCTGGACTCCAGAGCCAGTCTTCAAACCCTCAATAATTTAGCCGCAATTCAGCTCAGATAAGGACTGGGTCTTCCAGCATTTCAGCTGAGCAAGTAAATTCAAAATGTCCTGTTGCCCAAGAGGAAATATATAGTCACTGCTGGAGGAAAGGTTCCATAACTCTACTCCCTCTAAAAACAGATTAGGTTAACCACAAAGATAAACAAGAATATAAATAAGACCCTTTGCTTTCTTGTTTCTCCCTCCCTCTAACCTAGACCAAATTCTTTTCTTTTCTTTTTTTACCTCCTCCCCCCCTTTTCTTTGAGACAGGGTTTCTCTGTGTAGCCCTGGCTGTCCTGGACTCACTTTGTAGACCAGGCTGACCTCGAACTCAGAACTCACAGAGACCTGCCTGCCTCTGCCTCCTGTTTGCTGGGATTAAAGGTGTGTGGCACCTCTTTCAGCTACATCAGATTCTTGGCCATACACCTATTATAGCTGCTGCTGCTCCCTCTGCCTTCTCTTCCTCAATTGTCTGAAACCCTTCAACTCAGATAGACCCTGTGTTAGAGTCAACACACATTGGCCTTAGATGAACAGCATGAGAGGGAAATTGAGAATCTCCCATTCTAGGTCACCAGACCCCAACAACCTGAGACCATTTTTGACCAAATGTTCCCACTTGGCAAAGCTCTCCTAGGAAGGGGAGGGATTGGGTTTGTGAATGCTCTGTTCATGTGATAAAGTCAGAGACAGCTAGGAGCAGAACCAGATCCTCATCTTGGAAACCAAGAGAAACTAAGTGAATAGAGGATATTGAAGAAGCCTCATTGAAGCCAAGCTGTGGTGGTGCATACCTTTAAACCCAGAACTGGAGACACGGAGGCAGAATATCTGAGTTCAAGCCCAGCCTGTTCTGCAGAGTGAGTTCTAGGACAGCCAGACAAAATGGAGAAAACTTGTCTTGAAAAACCAAGAAGGAGGAGGAGGAGGAGGAAGCAGCAGCAGCAGCTCTACTGCCTTGTTTTAGTGTTAGCCCTACCCAACTTAGAAAGGCCATATATTTGTCATTGTTAATACAAGGACAGTACTTGGTGTCCTGACACAAGAACAGAGACACTGGCAATCTGTGGCATACTATCTCACTACTCACATCATTACCTTGGACTGGCAGCAGCTGCCGTTCTTTCAACAGAGGAAGGTGAGAAACTAGTATATTCCAAAGAGTGGGGAGATAGCTCACAAATTCTCACATCTTGAAGTATAGAGTTCACTCCACTAGAGAGAGGTGACTTGATTCTGTCGAATCCTTGAATGCAGCCCAGTTTTCTGTTGGCTGTCACAAAACTATAAAGGAAATTGAGCACATTGTTTGGACAGCATAGAACAGCAAGCTAAGGTCCCATTTCACTTAAGAGAAACTTGCTTTAAGATTGGACCTGTGGGGTGGGCTGGAAAGATGGCTCAGTGTGAAGAGTACTTTCAGAGGTTCAATTGCTGGCACCTCTACAATGCCTCCCTCACAGACAACATTAACCAGAGGCACTGATGTCTTCTTCTGACTGCCACAGAGTTCAGGCATACACATGGTGAACAAACATCCACGCAAACCAAACATTCATACAAAAAAGTAAATACACAGACACACACACACACACACACACACCCCACACACACGCAAATGAATGACTGGACTTAGGATCTTTTTTTTAAAAGATTTATTTATTCATTTATTTACAAAGCATTCTGCCTGCATGCAGCCTGCGCACCAGAAGAGGACACCAGGTCTCTGTATAGATGGTTATGAGCCACCATGTAGTTGCTGGGAGTTGACTTCAGGACCTCCAAAAGAACAGCCAGTGCTCTTAACCTCTGAGCCATCTCTCCAGCCCCTGGACTTAGGATCTTTACAGGTGGATCCTCCAGAATGGTTGAAGGGTAACCGCTAATGTCCTACAGTGAATGGGAATGTTGACTGACACAGCACCATAAGATCAGGGAGATTACCAGATAATTGATCAGCCCAGATCTGTGAACTGTGTGCTTGAAACTGGGCTTTGAAATTCCTTAAAGGGCAGGACAGAGGCAGGGACTGATTCTAAACCTTTGGTGTGTAGCCCACATTTGGTGAGAGTTGGGCAGAACAGGGTGTAATTAACAGGAATGACACCTTGTCCACAAGAACTTACCACTCAGATTCTAGATTTTAGTGCTGCCTGAAGAGGTTGCAGTAAGACATGTCCCTGGGCTCCAAGAGGGAGAAACTACTGAAATCAAGGGGAGCAATCAGGTATGTAAATTTCCTAAAAAGGCCACTTAGTAGAAATTTCCCTTTTCTCTCTCATTCATATTACTCCTCCTATCCTAAAGTCCCTGCCCTGCTATTTGCCCCCAAGGAAAAACAACAAGGTGTGGTCTCCAAAGATGAGGATGGGGGAGGGGTTTTAGGGAGGTAGCTCCGTGGTTAAGAACACTTGCTGGGGCTGGAGAGATGGCTCAGTGGTTAAGAGCACTTTCCCAGCAACCACATGGTGGCTCACAACCATCTATAATGTGAACTGATTCCCTCTTCTGGCAGGTGTAAATACAGATAGAACACTCATATACATAAAATAAAATAAAATCTTAAAAAAAAAAAAAAAAAAGAACACTTGCTGATCTTGCAAGGGCACAAGCTCAATTCCCAGCACCTGTCAATTCCCACAACTGTCTGTAACTTCTGGCTTTTGTGGTCATATAATTTAAAAATAAATCATTGGGAAAAGAAAGAAAGAAAGAAAAGATAGCTGGGTGTGGTGGCTAACATCTTTAACCTCAGCATTGGGGAGGCAGAGGCAGGCAGAACTCTGAGTTCAAGGCCAGCCTGATCTACAAAGCAAGTCCAGGACAGCCAGGACTACACAGAAAAATCCTGTATTGAAGAAAAGAAAGAAAGAAAGGAAGGAAGGAAGGAAGGAAGGAAGGAAGGAAGGAAGGAAGGAAGGAAGGAAGGAAAGAAAGAAAAAGGCTGGAAATGGTTTTTACCGGACAGAAAATACTGTTTATGCCCACATGTGTGAATTATTACCTCATATACACTAAGGCAGTCACTGGGACCCCAAGTGTGCTACCTTAGAACTTATGGATTCATGATCTTTATACCATAGCTAGCTAACAAGTCCAAGGATGCCTTACTTGACCTAAAGTAAATAAGCAAGCTGTGAGACCACAGCCTTCTGGAGGGAGGAACCCAGAGGTGAGGCCTTTTCAGAGTGTGCCGTTGTCTATATGGAAATGCTGGAAGTGGCCACTTGAGGTATTCCTGGTAATAGCTGATCACTTAACTCACTGGGATGCGGCTATACCTCTCTCCAGGGCTACTCCTAAAAAGGTAATCAAAATATGTTTAGAAAGTAAAATTCCTAGATTTGAAATAATTGGCTCCGAAAATAGGAGCCATTTTGCTGCAGCCATTGTCAGAAGATTCACCCAGACTCTTGAAATCATTTGGGATTATCACAGCCTCTGGCACCCTCCTGTCCTCTGGTAGAGGACTGCCTTGTCCCTGTTCTATTGCTGTGAAGAAACACCATGACCAAGACAACTCTTATAAGAGAAAGCATTTAATTGGAGGCTTGCTTATACCTTCAGAGGTTTAGTCTATTACCGTCATGACAGGAAGTATGGCAGCGTGAAAGACAACATGGCACTGGAGCAGTAGCTAAGAGCTACATCCTCACCTACACGCAGAGAGAAACACTGGGCCTAGAGTGTGGACACACACACTGTCAGCAAAGCCACACCTCCTAATCCTTCTCAAATAGTGCCAACTCTCTGATGACTAAACATTCCAATATATAGGCCCATGGGGAGCAGTCTTACTCAAACCACAACAAGGAGAAAGGATGAATCAAGCTCTAAAAGTGTAATTTGGCCAAATTAATACTTGAAACAAAATCACCCTGACAACCTGTCTCTCCATTACCCTCCTAACAATCAGGACTGCCCCCACATGAGATGGTCTGCCATGTATCCTGTTGAATCCTACTGGAGGGCTCCATCCTTTAAAGTCAAGAACCAGTTCCTTAGACACTACGAACTTGGATTGTCTTCTGCTGTGCCCTCCCTTGGGTAGTAGGGGCTATTAGCCCAGGAACCACTACTCAAGTTTCCTGCCCGGAAGCATAAGCAAGACAAGAAGGAAGGATCTGACCAAGTTCTGCTCTCTACTCAAAGGCCACGAACTGCCCAAAGGGTCTGGGCACATATGCCAGACCAAGAAATCACTTGCAATCATAGGAATGTCCACTGAGTCTGAGCAAACTTCATTTGAACATGCAAGAAGTACTGGAGCAGTCTCTAAACCCAGTCCTCAGGAAACACAGCAACCCTTGCTAAGCTACTCTACACTTCCACCCCAGTGTTGTTCTCAACCTGCAGCCACCTGCTTTGTTGTCATGTTTGCCATTATAATGTAGATTTTGTGTTCCTGATCCTCTCTTGCTGCCTTAGCTCTCTGGGGCAATTTTTAACTCGGAATATTCCAAAAGGCAGATCTATTAACTTGCTTTCCGTGGGCTCACTTAAAAAAGACTTTAATGACACTCTTGTTTCTAATGAAGGCAACTAATAGTATTTTTTACTATTAATGTAACCACAGCCGACATACTTCTGTCTATCCAGTTTAATGCATGCTTGGTTATTCCCTGTGGGAATATGTGAAGCAGCTCTCTAGGATGGTAAGAGCTTTTGCCCCTTCAAACTCAGGAAACCAAACACAGACAGCACTTTAAAGAGCCCATAATAACTGGACTGACATTGGTGGACAGCCCAGATTAGTGAGAGCCCTTTACAACCTACCCTTCGCAATTGCTATGAAAGCCCTAAAGGAAAAGTTACAGGCAATAAATAAATCTAATCCTCCAAATTGTCAGCATCAACAGTGTTACCCATTATGCATAATAACAACAAGTTTCACAACAAGAATCCTCAATATTCAGACCTTAGCTACTGTGAGCTGATGTTAGAGGAGTAGATCCCATAGAAAAATCTACCCCAAGGCAGGTAAAAGGGAGAACCCCAACATGCCCCAGATACTTCTAACAAATCTTTAAGTCATGTCCTTACTACCTGCTTACTCAAATCCAAACCTATACTCAGTTTTCCATCACTTAGACCCAAAAATTAGCTACTGTGGACCAACAAATATCCTAAGCTAACCATAACGGAATCCAAAGACTTCAGACAGACCTTTAGCACTGAGACAGAACACAGAGGTACAAATGCCGAGTTACAATGGATAAAATACTTAGTTCCTGCACTCAGTCAAAGTGGTTGTTATTTGTGACTGGATAACCCAGGACTCAGATAGTCCCCTTCCCGTTGGGGTGATCCTTCAATCCAAATAGCATGCATTGCATGAATGTCCTCTTCCAAGACTGAGGGGCCTGAAGCAATGAGTCCTGTTGCACCCTGTCCCTGCCGTTTCTACTCCCATAGAGCCCTCACCCCCGACGTAATTGTATCACATACCTCTCTAGGTGGAAGAGCAATTGACTACAGTGGGCATGCAGTGAAGGCCAGTTTTTTGACAAGATTACCAGTGTCATCCCTGGTGGTCACACAATCAGATCTTTAGTGATATTATAGAGTATCCTTATTTGAAGTTCTCCCAGTGGGTTGGATTGACTTGTACTTTAGTCCAATTGGCTACCTCTTTCACTATGGCATTTAGATGACCACACCTTAAACCCCCTCCTGCAAGAAGAGCCTGGGCAGTGGCACACACTGTAATCCCAACACTTGGGGAGGCAGAGGCAAACAGATCTCTGTGAGTTCAAGGCCAGCCTGGTCTACAAAGTGAGTACAGGACAGCCAAGGCTACACAAGAGAAATCCTGTCTTGGAAAAAAAGAAGAAGAAGAAGAAGAAGAAGAAGAAGAAGAAGAAGAAGAAGAA